GTTTAATATCATGCTATTTAGCCTCCAGGTGTTTAAATGTTTTTCAATATTTTTACTATAGAGGACTTCTAGTTTCATGCCATTGTGCTTGAAGATAATGCTTGATATGATTTCAATCTTCATGAATTTGTTAAGACTTATTTTGTGTTACAATACGAGGTCTATCTTTGAGAATGTGCCATGTGCTGTTAAGAAGAATGTATATTCTACTGCTTTGGGATGAAGTGTTTTGTAAACACCAATTAAATCCATTCAATGTAGTCTATCATTTAAGATCACCATTTCCTTGATGATTTTTTGTCTGGAAGTTCTATCTGCTGATGACATGTGGTATTAAATCCCCCTACTATGACTGCATTCCTATCATCTTTCTCTTAAATTCCACCAAGATTTCCTTCATATATTTAGGTGTTCCTATATTGTGTGGATATGTTTATAAGGGTTATATCCTCTTGTTGGATCAATCACGTTTTTATTATGTAATGGCATACTTTGTCCCTAGTTTTGGCTTTTGTTTTTAAGTCTATTTTGTCAGATATAAGTATGGCTTCCCAAGTTTTTTATTCATTTCCCTTAGCATTCAATTTTTTCCATCACTTCACTTTCATCCTGTTTAAATATTTTGTTCTGAGGTGGTTCTCTTGTAGGTAGCATATAAATGGGTCATATTACCTTATCCATTCAGCCACCCTATGTCTTTTGATTAGAGCATTTAATCCACTTCCACTTGAAGTTATTATTGATAGGTATTTATTTATTGTTTTTTTCTTTATATGTAGTTTCCTCTCTCCATCTATTCCTTCTCTTAAATCAATCCCTTTAATATTATTATTAAATAATAATAATAAATATTATTTAAATCTTCTTTAAAATAATTTTATAGGACCTTTTTAGTGTCTGTATACCATACTTCCTTCTGCCTTCCAATTACTTATATTCCAATTGTAATCATCATTCTTTGCCTTCACTACAAATTTTCTTCCATTGTCTTATCACTTGCAATCTGGCTTCTGCCCATCTAGTTTCATTAAATTCAGGTGCCTGTCTTCATTTTCATATTCCCCATCTTAATGAGGTATATAAAATAGTTCTGACCACAATTCTATTCCTCTGTCCAAATCTGTGTCCTCTTTCTCTCTCCCTTTAACTAGATCCTGTCCCTATTTTTGTCTTTTCTTCATTCAACCCTAAGATCTTTGTTATATTAATCTGGATGTCTATCCAGTGCTTCCTAATAGAACATTCTTGGATGACAGAAATGACCTGTATCTGTGCTTTCCAATACAATAACCATGTTTACTACTGAGCACTTAAAATATGGCTAGGTATGACAGAGAAACTAAAGTTTTAAACTTCTGGGAATCTATCTGAAGAAACCTGAAACACCTATTTGAGGAATATATGCACCTCTATGTTCACTGAAGCATTATTTACAATAGCTTTTGGAAGCAGCCCAAGTGGTCGTCAGTAGATGAATAGATAAAAAAGCTATGGTACATTTTATACAATGGAATACTACTTGATCTTAAAAAAGGAAAAATATTTTACTCTTTGTGACAGCATGCATGGACCTGGAGAACATTATGCTTAGTGAAATAGGCAGTCAGAGAAAGACAAGTACCATATGATTTCACACATATGTGGAATCCAATAAACAAACTGAACTAAGAAGCAAAACAGAGACAGACTCAGAGAGCAGGCTGACAGCTTTGATGGGGAAGGTTGGGAGGGTGGAGGGATTGAGCAAAAAAGAAAAAAAAGAAAGAAAGAACACTTGGACATAGACCACAGTATGGTGATTGTGGGGGGAGGGGAACTAGGTGGAGGTAGAGGAGGCTATAAGGGAGATAAATGGTAATAGAAAAAATACAATAAAATAAAAATAAAAATTTTAAGAACAAGCTACTGATACATACACCAAAAAGTTTTTAATTAAATTAATTAAACTGCTCTATGTGTTTTGTGGCTGCCTTATTAAACAGCATAATTCTATACAGTCTTTTACAGAAGGAGATCCAGTCTGTACCTATGTGTCTCATTATTCAGGTTATTCATTGGAATATATTTTGGGGATTAGCAGAAAACTCCCTCCTTCTTAAGATTTCCCCATAAGGTACAAGTCTTAGTTATTGTTGTTGTTTTTTAAAGAAAAAGTCACATATGTATATACAGCATAAGGAAAATAGTCAGTATTATTGTAATAACATTTTCTTGTGACTGATGATTTTATTGGACTTAATCTGGTAATCACAATATAAGGAATATAAATATCAAATCACTATATTGTACACCTGAAACTGCCATATTTTATGTGAACTATACTTTAATTAAAAAAGATTTCCCCATAGGTCTTATCCTTTTTTTCTCAGATTTCCCACTAGACTGTGCTGGGTTTCAGACCAGGTCCACAGTTCTTTTCTTCTTCCAACATCATACATAAGCCTACTTACTATGAAGTTCTGATTGGATTTCAAATTTGATCATACTTTAACTTATAACTTCTATCTATTTACAGACGATATTCAGTTGGAAATTACAAACCTAAAACATTTCTTGGACACATTTTAACCTCAAAGAGTTTACCTCTCCTATTTTTGGCCTTGCCACTTGACCATCAATCTATTTCAAAATACTATGATGTAATAGATATCACGTGAGCCTCAAAATCAAATGTAATAATATCTAAGCCTACTTAGTGGTGGCTATAAGAATTACTTAATGAGTATACATTAATTTGTTTCATTTTATGATAAACATCACCATATATATATAACGAGCCAGACACTGCTAGATATGTTATATATAGGGTGGAGCAAAAGTAGGTTTACAGTTGTGGGTACATGAAACACAGAGTGATTCTTATATTATTATTTATTACTATAATATTTTTCATGTGAACAACTGTAAACCTACTTTTGCCCCACTCTGTATTATGCCTAATTTTTATACCATACTTACAATGTCATATGATTTTACCTACTAGGAAACTGAGGCTCAAGAGGTAGATTAATCAGTTTGGTAAAGGCAGAATACCTAACTAGCTAGATGTAGAGTTTGGATTCAAACTCACCTTTGTCTGACCCCAAATCCTGTGTTGTTTCCACTCTGCCACATAGATGGCCATTTAGCTCTTTTCCATTTTGCCTGAACCTATGACTTCCCTTTTCCCTTCAGTCAATTACTGATAACAATGAATTGTCTTTTTTCTTTTGCTGAGTGCCATCATGAAATCATTGACTTCTAAGTATTTCTCTACTTCAGTCATAGTGAATATGTTTTCCACATGGACAATATGTATTTCCTGTTTTATACTTTCCCCTGGAAATACCTCATTTGGAGTTCTTCCTGCTACAGTGTTTATCTACCTACCTAACTCCATAATATTCTTTTTTTTTTAAGAGAGAGTTTGGAGCTCCAGGCACCTCAGAATCCCCCATATCAGAAATGTCTGTAATCTCCTCCCATCAAGCTTCTTTTACTTACCATTGAGTTATGTACTGTATAAAGCTACAGTTTTCCTGGAGTGGGGAAGATTTATTCTTGGTTAAAGGGAATATAGTGGTCCTGAGTGATAGATATAGGAGAAGAGGTTTAGGAGAGTGAGTGAGGAAACAGAAGTAGTTGCTCTTCTATAGCAAGAGCAACAGTGTGGATCTAACAGGGGATAAATGAACAAAGAAAGCCCTTTCAGGCTTGGCTTGAGGTAGGGGTCCAAGTAGGAAAATATCTTTGGCTGTATATAGGAGGAACTGTGGAGGGGTGGGCTTTCTTCAAAGTAGAGAATATATTAGAAAGAAAAATAATACAGATGAATAATATGTTGTTTACTTTTCAGTTTTATACTGACCTAGTGTATTTGCCACTTTATTTTCAATAGATTGGAAACAGTTATGGAAAAGAATAATTAACCCCAAAGCTAATATGTGCAGTCCTAAAATAATCACTGAGCACATCAAAGTGTGAAAATGACTCCATCACTGAAATAATTATATTTTGGAACCCTTATCAAAACCTTGAAAGTCAAGCTCACATTCTTCAGGACTTATTCCTTAATTAAAGTAGGGAGTTTTGATCACTGATTTTCCGACACTTGCTCTACTCATAATCATTATCTTATTATCTAATTTTTTTATGTGACATATTGAATTTTTATGCACAGAATTTTTCTCTTTCTCATTAGAGTTTTACAAAGGGAAAATGACCTATGTCTCAGCCTTTTTTATACTCTACAAGGTGCTCTGGTAATAGGTTCCATATACTTGAATATATTATCTGATTATTGTAATGTGACAGTAAAAGAACTTTCTTGCTTTTCTCTTTTTGAGATTATCTTATGAACAATAGTTTTCTTTCTATTTGATCTCAACAAATATCCCCTCCTGAAAGTATCAAGTACGTACTGAGATGTCATATTTTTCTCAATGATGAGAAATGCTGACCTCAAGATTCCTGCTGGACACTGAGAAAAAATAAATTCCCCTTGGGTCCCATAAAATTTTAAAGTTGTTGAGCATTCTGTCAGCATTCATAGATTCTACAAAATGCTGCCATTGTCCTAGGCACTGGATGCAGCTGTGTGAAAAAAAAAAGAAGTAAACAATCCCTGCCCTCATGGAGCTTTTCACCCTATGAATAGCACTGGATAGTGCAGGATGCACTGGAAACTTTAAGGACTAGACACAGGAAAACTGTCATTGTGATCAAATCAATTATGTCCAATTCTTTATCTTTTCAGCATTTAGCTTTGTCTACATCTTGATGCCCTACATTTAATCTGTTACCCCAATCACCTCTTCCTCATTACCAACACATACCTTCCTCTAGCAGTTCTTTTTATTCTTTGTATTTTGTTCATATTGTATAATTTAATTTGAGAGATGTCAGAATGATATAGTTTCTTTCTTCATTCCTTCAATTAAATTCTTCAATTTCTTCTATGATAGTTTTCTTTCTCCTTGCAAAGGAAAAAAGGATACATTTGCTTTCTTGATATTTTTCAGACTGGGAGTCTTGGTATGAAATCAAGGAATTATCTCCAATATGGTACATTGATGAAGAGGAAATATCCCAGAGCATGGTAATGGGAAGACTTACAAATCATGATTTTGAATGCTCCAGTTTCAGAGAAACTTGGAAATATGAGGATGAATTTGAGCATTGTCATGGAAATCAGGAGAGGCATTTCAGGCAAGTGGCAAGTCTTAAGGAAATATATGCTGTGAAAACAGACAATGAATATAATAATTCTGACAGAAATATTCTCTTGAAGTCAGTACTTTTAACACAACAGACAGTTTCTACATTACAGCAGATACATGAGTTTGATATTTACGATAAAACGTTCCCCCTAAATTCAGTCCTAATTGAAAATAAAAGACAACATGCTCAGAAGGAATCTTTGATAGGTAATAAATGTAAAGAATTCAAACAGAGTACATACTTTAATAAAGATATAGGCATTCCTCCTGGGGAGAAGCCTTATAAAGGTAATGATTTTTCAAATCTTTTAAGTTTCCATTCATTACTTACTCAACGTCAAACAACTCATTTTGGAAAATTACCTGATGAATGTGGTGGTGCCATTAGTTGTTACTCATTATTTACTCAACCTCAGAGAATTCACAGTAGAAAGAAACCATATGCATGCAATGACTGCGGAAAAGCCTTTAGCCATGACTTCTTTTTCAGTGAACATCAGAGGACTCATATTGGAGAGAAACCATATGAGTGTAAGGAATGCAACAAAGCCTTTAGACAGAATGCACACCTTGCTCAACATCAGAGAATCCACACTGGAGAAAAACCCTTTGCATGTAATGAATGTGGGAAGGCCTTTAGCCGTTATGCCTTCCTTGTTGAACATCAGAGAATTCACACAGGAGAGAAACCATATGAATGTAAGGAATGTAATAAAGCCTTCAGACAGAGTGCACACCTTAATCAACATCAGAGAATTCACACTGGAGAGAAACCCTATCAATGTAATCAATGTGGAAAAGCCTTCAGCAGACGCATAGCCCTTACTCTGCATCAAAGAATTCATTCAGGAGAGAAACCCTTTAAATGTAATGAATGTGGGAAGACCTTTGGCTATCGCTCACACCTTAATCAACATCAGAGAATTCATACTGGAGAAAAGCCCTATGAGTGCATCAAATGTGGGAAGTTTTTCCGGACTGATTCACAACTTAATCGACATCATAGAATCCATACTGGAGAGAGACCTTTTGAATGCAGTAAATGTGGGAAAGCCTTCAATGATGCTTTAGTTCTAATTCATCATAAGAGAAGTCATGCAGGAGAGAAACCCTATGTATGTAACAAATGTGGGAAAGCTTTCAGTTGTGGCTCATACCTCAATCAACATCAGAGAATTCATACTGGGGAGAAACCCTATGAATGCAATGAATGTGGGAAGGCTTTCCATCAGATATTATCCCTTAGGCTACATCAGAGAATTCATATTGGAGAAAAATCCTATAATTGCAATGAATGTGGGAGTAATTTTAGCTGTGTCTCCACCCTTAGACGACATCAGAAAATTCATAATAGAAAAACACTCTGATTATAACAAGAATAAGAAAGAAAACATTTAGTCACCACTCAGTCCTTATTAAATAAATATCAGTGAATTCTTTGGTTAGCAATTCTATGAATATAGTGCATATGGGAAAGCCTTCAGTTCATGAGCATTCCTTATTTGAAATAGCCCTAGTAGTAGACATCTGTTACTTTGTGATCTGTTATGTGCCCTTTTTGAGACTTAGCTTACCCTTAATGCATGTGATTCTGGGGAAACTGTTAGGGAGGACAGTGTCAGGTCATAGGCTGGCCAGTTATTTCCCTTGACCTAGTGATTAATAAGGGATTGGCAAATAGCCCTGTCTGGACTGTTAGAGCTCTAGTGGCTATTATGATGGATAGTAAGAGAAGTTTTTTTTTTAATTGCAAGTTTCAAGGATTTAGTGAGGTTAAAAACTTACCAGCAGGGTTTTTGTCTGTTTTTTCATTTTTTGTTTTGTCATTACATGAGAAAACCTTTTCCAACACAGATGAATCCAACACTGATGAAAATGGAGGTGAGAGACAGAAATCTGATGAAATTCTTTGATTTCTTTGATCCAGGCATGCCTGAACTCTACAACTTTACACCATCCCTCACTTTATCATTTTTGTGATCCAGTTAAAAAATTGTGTGTGTGTGTGTGTGTGTGTGTGTGTGTGTGTGTGTTTGCTTTAGTTAATTTGAATTGGATTTTTTTTCTCTTGGAATTAGGGTCCTGATGTATATACTATATGTTTGCTACACATGTAAGAAAGCCTTGATCTTTTCTTTTTTGGGGGGAGGGTATTATTTATTTTTAGATAGAGGGGGAGGGAGGGAGAAAGAGAAGGCGAGAAACATTAATGGGTGGTTGCTTCTCACATGCCCCCTACTGGGGACCTGGCCCGTAACTCAGGCTTGTGCCCTTACTGGGAACTGACAAACCTTTGGTTCACAGGCTGGTGCTCAGTCAACTGAGCCACATCAGCCAGAGCAGAAAGCCTTGATCTTTTATATGGCATAATTATTTATCCTAAGGAGAAAATTTGTGATATAACAAATATGCAAAATTTGAATACACGATTTCATAAAGCTGATAGAATTGCTTCATTTTATTTGTTGATAATTTAGTATTTATTACTCTGTTTCACAGTATAGATGATATTTTTTAATTCTCCTAGTAAAACTCCATAACCGTCTTACTCATAGGAAATTAAAATCATTTATGGCAGTGACTGACCTTAGACCTTCAAAGAAAGAATCACAAGCTAAGAGAATAATGGATTCATCAGTTTAGTGAATGGCTCTTCATTTTATTTTATTATTATTTTTTGGCTCTTCATTTTAAAGAGATTATTTAATTTTCTGCTTCTGGCATGGGTTTAAACATATTTCATGATAACATATAGTAAGATAGAATTGTAAATGAGGTCTGATGGTGAGTTGTAAACTTCATTTAAGAAGTTTATAGATAACTACTTTGGAACTCAAGATATCAGATAAAAGACATTGCTGGCAGGTAAAATAAGCTGTTTTCAAATAACAGTGAAAATGAAGTTTGAGTCTAAAATATTTAGAGAATAAATATTATCATTCTACAGAGTAATGAGGAACATGACAGTGTAAGGTGATGCATTTCTACTTTATGGGTGGATGTGGTGAGGTAAACCTTGATGATATGAACATAGCTTGATGATATGGAAACAGTTTGAACCAGTTAGAATCAAGGGCATTGTCTGGAGATTATGTATAAAAACAGATCAGAAAAAATGAGTTAAGAGTGAAGACTTACATAGGTGCATGGAGTGCAACAATGGCTACTACTTTCACAATTTCTTTAATAGTCAATTTATACTTATATTGACAAATATCTGAAAATTATTTTTTTAAGTATTAAGACAAATTCCCTTTAAACAACTTTAAGCTACAGATTTAGTATATTTGAATACTTCAAACTTGAACAGAAACAAATATAATAAAATATTGTCAAACATTATATCAAATCAAGAATATATTAATATCATAAGCTAAATTCATATCTACTTTTCTTTATTCCTTCTTATATTTATTGGAGGTATAGGAATACTAATTATAATGCTTTCTATGGATTTAGTAATAACTTACTTTGAAAGTTCCCCAAGGTTACATTAAACTTACCATGCCTAAAGCAAAAAGAATAATGACTCAGACAACTGAAGAGTCTGTATTATTCACTAACTGATTCTCTTTTCCATGTTTCATTTTTTTTTCATTTTTATTATTGTTCAAGTACAGTTGTTTCCATTTCCTCCCCTCCACTCCCCCCACCCCAGCCATCCCCAATTCCCACCCGTGATCCTACCCCCATTTTGTTTTGTCCATGTGTTCTTTATAGACATCCCTGAAAACCCTTCCTCCTTTTCTCCCCATTATCTCCTCCCACCTCCCCTCTGGTTACTGTCACTTTGTTCTTAATTTCAATGTCTCTGGTTATATGTTGCTTGCTTGTTTGTTTTGTTGATTAGGTTCCACTTATAGGTGGGATCATATTTGCCTTTTACTGCCTGATTTTATGTCACTTACCATAATGCTCACCAGTTCCATCCATGCTGTCATGAAGTGCAGGAGCTCCTTCTTTCTTTCTGCTGTGTAGTATTCCATTGTGTAAATGTACCATAGTTTTTTGATCCATTCATTTAGTGATGGGCACTTAGGCTGTTTCCAGCACTTGGCTATTGTAAATTGTGCTGCTGTGAACACTGAGGTGCATAGGTTCTTTTGAATTGGTGTGTCAGGATTCTCAGGGTCAGCAAAATGAAAAGGGAACCAACTATATGGGAAAATATATTTCCCAACGATACCTTGGACAAGGGTTTCATCTGCAAAATATATAAAGAACTCACATGACTCCACACCAGGAAGACAAACAACCCAATTTAAAAAACTGGGCAAAGGACCTGAACAGAAACTTCTCCAAGTAGGACATCCAGAGGGCCCAGAGACATATGAAAGGGTAGCATCACTAGCCATCAGAGAGATGCACATTAAAACCACAATGAGATACTACTTCACATTGGTCAGAATGGCCATCATAAGCAAATCAACAAACAACAAGTATTGGAGAGGATGTGGGGAACCCTAGTACACTGTTACATGTATATTTTTAAAGTGTATGTATTCTGGGTTTGGGGGGTATAAATTTCTTATCTATTAGGTCAAACCACTAAACTATTAGATATTTATCAGTCTGATAGGTGGAAAATTATTTCTCAGTATAGTTTTCAATTTGTTTTTTTTTAATTATGAATGAGTTTGAGCTTCTTTGAACTGTCTCTATTTCATGATCAATATTCAATTGGAAAGTGACCTTTTACTTAGATCACATCAGCACTTTATGATGTGATTTGAAAGTATTTTTTCCAGTTTACTAGTTGTTTTTCAAATTTGCTTATGGTCCTCTTTTCCATGCAAAATTGATTGTTATGTTATCTCTCTAATTTACCAGTATTTTCCTTTAGGGCATATGAATTTCTTAAAGTAATTTAAAAAATTTCCCATGATTTCTCCTTTTATTTTGTGCTTTCATTTTTTTACTTTTTTTGTATGTCTGAGAACCTAATTTTACCCTTACATGCCTACTCCATTTCTCAACACAATTTAAAAATAATTCATCTTTTCTCACTTATTTGAAATGTCACCTTTAGTATATACTAAATTACCAGATGTATTTGAGTACATTGATGTATTTCATTTTGTGTTGTATTAATTTGTTTGTCTACTATCTGTAATTGTTTTTAAGAGAGGAGTTTTGACATTGCTAGCCATAATTGTAAACTTCTCTATTTCTCTTTTTCAATTCTGTTGGTTTTGCTTTATGTGTCTTGAAGCTGTTGTATTAAATATGTAAATATTTGGTATTGTTATGTACTTTTAATTAATTTGTCCCCTTATTGTTACAAAATTACCTTCTTTATCCATGGTAGTATTCTTTGCTCTCAAATCTACTTTGTCTGATATTAATATGCCCACTCTTTTCTTTAATTAGTTTTAGCATATCGTGTCTTTCCCCATCATTTTATTTTTAACCATTTGTGGTTTTCTATTTACAATGGACTTCTCATAAGCAGCATACAGTTGGGTATTCCTTTACATTTAATCTAAAAATCAGTGCTTTTTAATTGAGGTGCTTAGGCTATTCACATTTTAAAATGATTTATTGAGGTGAAGTTAACATACTATGAAATTAGTCATTTTTAAGTGAACAATTTAGGAGCATCTAGTACACATTCACAATGTGAGGCAGCCATCACCTGTGTCTAGTTCCAAAACTTTTTCATCATTCCAAAGTAAGCCCCCTTACTCATTAAACAGTTTTTCCCCTCCCCTAGGCCCCTGGTAACCACTCATCTGTGTTCCATGTTTATGAACATACTGGTTTGGATATTTCATATAAATGGAATCATACAATATTTGACCTTTTATATCTGACTTCTTGTAGATAATGTTTTGCAGGTTCAGCCATGTAAGCATTGTCTGTACTTCATTCCTTTTTATGGTTGAGTAGTATTCCACTGTTTGTACTTGTATATATGAGGTATTGCACTTAGTTTATTTGTTCCTTTGTTATGGGTATTTTGGATATTTACAAATTCTGGCTATTTTGAATAGTGCTGCTATTAACATGTATGTATATGTACTCATTTTTAGTTCTTTGGGGGTAAACCTGGGAGTGAAATTTTTGAGTTGTATGTTAATCCTATGCTTAACTTTTTTAACTTTATTTTTATTGTTGACACTATTGCAGATGTCCCCATTCCCCCTCTTTTCCCACCTCCACCCAGCCCCTGCCTGCCCTCCATCTGTCCATCACTACACTCTTGTCTATGTCTATGGGTTATGCATGTATGTTCTTTAGATAATCCCTACACCTTCTTTCATCCAGTCCCCACATATCCCCTCCCCTCTGACGGCTGTCAGTACTACCTTTTTTGATGAACTTCCAAACTATTTTCTATAGTAGCTGAAACATTTTATGTTTTTACCAGCAGTGTACAAGTTTCCAATTTCTCCCCATCTTTACTA